AATCAACTGAAGAATTATTTGAAATTGAAGCTGGAAATTGGCGAGCTTCTCAGCTTCAAGTGAAAATAATTTTTTGGGTAATTTACACGAAATTGCCCGCTTTTATCCTCATAATTTCGTGGTTTTAGGGCTCGTTTTTCAAAGGATTTCGGTTTTACGGGAGCTTGAAAACAGCCTTGCTTCGTCTCTGAAAATTTCACATTCTGCTTTCTTTTTGCATAAAAGTTGCAAATTTCGTGCAAATCACCCGAAGAATTATTTCAAATTTTGGAACATTTTCACGTTGCCAGGATTTTGAAATAGCGTTGAGCAGAGTGGAAAATAGCAGTTTACTTACCAGGTTCATTCAAGTGAAAAACGCTTCCGGTCACTCAATTTGGGCCAGATTTGTTGCGTATGAATACAGGGTGATCGTGTCAAAAATAGCTAGTAATGAAAACCTTAAAAGATTCACGATTTTGTCCCAAACCACACAATAGTTTGAAAAATAGCCACCCTGTAGACGTATGGAAACGAACGGGGTTGCTTCACTTGCTCTTGTCTTCTTCGGGTCAGAACTTTTAAATCGCGTTTTCGCACTAAATGAATTCAAACTTACATATTTTCGTAAATCATCTCCTATTCGTTTTGAGTGGAGCGTCGTTTCCTCCGCTCAGTAGTTTGACGGAACACTAGGAAAAGTAGGGACAAAATAACGCAAAAAACTAATAATAATCATAATTTATTTTCATATATATGTATATGTATATCAGATATCTAGTTATATACACAATTAAATAGCATCGATATGTACAAATCAAGAGAGTCTTATAGAGGTGATCGTTGTTACAAGAAACAAATCGTATTTATTGCTATAAATGCCCGAGTGGCATTGTTTTAGTCCGAAAGCGAAGCGGCAGCAGGAAACAGTCTTGATCGGCATTGGTCAACAATAACTTTGTACAAATATACACATTGGACTGATCTAAACAAATGCGATTGAGCGTTACGAACTAGATAAGCCTAAATCTATCTGAACAAGCCCAGTCGAGAAATGTACACTTAATATATTAATAATACTCATCATTGTTATAGTTTTTACCACATATTTAGTCATTGCGCAGTTTTGTCTTAGGCATGTTGGTTTTTCCGAGGATTGTCTTAACAGGTTGAAGCGTCAGGTGGAGGACTTGCACGAAAAACCACTTGTTGCGGGCAACAAAGCGCTTTTCTGCTGGTCGAGTTTATTGTTTTAACCATTATTATGCACTTACACGTACGTAGAAAAATGATAAAGTACAAAATAAACTATGGGGTAAGCAGTTCATACATATTTGGTAAGTTCAGCCTTATGAGGGATAGTCCATCGCGACATCTAGTGGGGGTAAATAGCTGAAACAAAAACGGTGTGGTTTAACATTTTGAAGCGATTTCTCTTCTGCAAACCGTTCAGCATCCAGAACCATAAATCAAAAAGTCGGTTTGTGAACCTTTTAAGACATTCCCTTGTAATCTAAAAATACGTTCTCCTGCTTTATCGAGCTAATTTTACACTGCGAGGCCTTGTTTCCTACATAGGAAACTACTGCAAGCTCGGGCTTTTAAAATTTATTACTTTGATTACCGATAGTGGCGTGAGTTTTATGGTCGGCGATGATTGATGCGTAAACACACCGGGACTTTAACACATGCTGATGAACACTTTTGGGGAATTATCGGTCGTTTTTTGTTCTTTCCCAGTGTTGATAGCCGATGAAGGAGTGCCGAAAGTCGACGGTTTTCCTTAGAGTTCGAGTGAAGAAGGATGTGGAAGATTGGGTTGGAGGCAACCAGACCGGGACCCATGAATCTTCCTGCGAAATCAACTTGCCAAAATCTCTTCCTGGTTGGAAACAGCCTCAAAAAGTCAAGGGTTGATGGTAAGTTTGCACGAGTTTAAACTATCGTTGGCAACAAACAGTCTGGTCCGGTCCTGTGGAGTTCCACTACTGTTCTATTTTCGGCCTTATCGCCCATTCGGGCAATTTAAAACAGATTTCGTTAATTGAAAATTATGCTGGTACACAGATTTCTTAGAACCATTACTTTGGGCGCGATAATCGGCACTTAGAGCGCCTTTTTAACATTCTCTTGAATGGGGGATCGCCTGAATAGGGCGACTGTCGAGAGTGGCGAAGAAGAGAACGAAGGCGTTTGGTACACAATGCTTTTAGTTAACTCGGACATATTGTTATCGGGGAACGTAATCCGGTACCCGTCTGAAGTGCCATTAAGGCGGATCGATTAAAATGTCGAGTGTCAGGTTTTTATGGAGTGTTTTCCAACATGAGGAGTACCGTTCAAGACAAGCGGGGCGACATCTGCTTTTCGCCTCGTTTCTACTTCATGTTCCGGATGCTTCAAGGTTCTCTCCTTTAGCCGTTATTATCGTCAATATCCAACACTCACAGTACCTGTGAGCTACACGCATTTCTTTGCAAGAGAATTATCGAGATGCTGTTTGAAAATAGTCCTGAGGACTCACGACTGCTACTATCATGAACATCAGGCACGTGAGGGCGATATTTTTTTAATGCAACGTGACCCGGTCAAATTCGTCAATATTTTTACATAAAAAGTACGAAAATTAGTTAAAAAAGCCACGAAAATCGCAAATGCCGCTTCTTTTGGTCACGGTGCAACTGGCCGTGGAAACTCGCGCAGTAATCGACATTAGCCAAACAAAAGTGTGTTCAAAGTAGACAAAAGAAGCAAAAAGAGAGAGACCGAAATCAACGGCGTAAATTAGAACTCACCTACGGGCTTACGACTATTTTTATGGGGCGTGACCCTCTCAAATGCGTAAATGCTTTTATACGGAAAGTAGTTCTTGAAGCTAAAACAAAAGAAACTTTCAAAAAGTCACGAAAACAAATGTTGGTGCATTCGGTCACGGCGCAATTGGCGGCAGAAGCACGCATATAAATCGACATACGTCAAATAAAAAAGAAAAAAATGTGCCTCTGCAAAGAAGACAGATGAAGCAAAAAGGGGAAAACCGGCATCAACGGCGCCAAACCGATAAAAGATGAATCAGAAATCGCCTACGGACGTACGACATTTCTTTTTATGGGGCGTGACCCGTTCAAATTCGAAACTATTTCCAGATCAAATGTAGTTCCTGAAGCTGAAACTCACGGAATTTCCAAAAAGACAACGAGAATCTCAATTTCCGCTTCAGTCCGTCGTAAAATCGATTAATAAATGACTTAGAAATCACCCACGAACTGACGACGTTTTTAAGGGACGTGACCCATTTATGACCCTCTGAAATTTGCAAATATTTTTACATCAAAAGTGGTCCTGGAAGCTAAAATAATTTCCAAAAGTCACAAAAATTGCAGGTGCCGCTTCATTCGGTCACGGCGCAAAGGGAAGAGCCAGTTCAAAGCAGACAGAAGAAGCAAGAAAAAAAAGTGCGGCATCAAAGCCACCTAATCGATAAACAGATGAATCAGAAATCGCCTGCGGACTTGCAACGTATTTCTTGGTGCGTGACCCTGTCAAATGCATCAATATTTTTTAATATCAAAAGTAGTTCTTGAAGGTAAAACAAACGAAAGTTCCAAAAAGTCACGTAAACTGCAAATTCCGGTCAATTCGGTCACGGCGCAATTGGCGGTTCAAACACGCGTAGAAGTCGACATTTGTCAAACGAAAAAAACTGTTCTTCAAAGAAGACAGAAGAAGCAAAAAGAAAGAGACCGGAATCAACGGCGTCAAATTAATAAAAAGATGACTTAGAAATCGCTTACGGACTTACGACGTTTTTTAAGGGACGTGACCCATTTATGACTCTCTCAAATTTGTCAATATTTTTACATCAAAAGTGGTCCTGGAAGTTAAAATAATTTCCAAAAGTCACAAAAATTGCAGGTGCCGCTTCATTCGGTCACGGCGCAAAGAAAAGAGCCCGTTCAAAGCAGACAGAAGAAGGAAGAAAAGAAAGTGCAACATCAAAGCCACCAAATCGATAAACAAATGAATCAGAAATCACCTGCGGACTTGCGACGTATTTCTTGGGGTGTGACCCTGTCAAATTCATCAAAGTTTTTTAATATCAAAAGTAGTTCTTGAAGGTAAAACAAACGAAAGTTCCAAAAACTCACGTAAACCGCAAATTCCGGTCAATTCGGTCACGGCGCAATTTGCGGTTCAAACACGCGTAGAAGTCGGCATTCGTCAAACGAAAAAAACTGTTCTTCAAAGAAGACAGAAGAAGCAAAAAGAAAGAGACCGGAATCAACGGCGTCAAATCAATAAAAAGATGACTTAGAAATCACCTACGGACTTACGACGTTTCTTGTGGGGCGTGGCACGCTCCACTTCGTCATTATTTTTACATGAAAAATAGTTCCGCGGCTCTCAAACAAACGGACTTTCAAAAAAGTCACAAAAATCGCAAACGCCGCTTCTTTCGGTCACGGCGCAATTGGCGCTAGAAACGTGCGCAGTAATCGACATCCGTCAAACAAAAAAAAACTGTTTTTCCAAGAAGACAGAAGAAGTAAAGAGGGAGAGACCGGAATCAACGGTGTCAAATCAATAAAAAGATGAATTAGAAATCCGTTACGGACTTACGACGTTTTTCATGTGACGTGACCTTAACAAATTCGTAAATATTTTCATATCAAATGTAGTTCCTAAAGCTGAAACAAAAAGATTAACAATTGAATTAGAAATCGCCTACCGGCCAACGAAGTTTTTAATGGGATGTGACCCATTTACGACCCTCTCGAATTTGTAAATATTTTCAAATCTAAAGTAGTTCCGGAAGCTAAAATAAACGGAATGTCAAAGTCACCAAACATTTTTTTGGGGCGTGACCCTGTCAAATGCGTCAATATTTGTAATATCAAAAGTAGTTCTTGCAGCTAAAACAAACGAAATTTCCGAAATAGTCCCGAAAAGCGCAAATGCCGGTTCATTTGGTCACGATGCACGAGGCGGTAGAAAAAACGCATAGTAATCGACAAAGCCAAATAAAAAATGTGCCTGTGCAAAGAAGACAGACGAAGCAAAAAGAGAAAGTGCAGCATCAACGCGAAAGTCAAATCGATAAATAGATGAATGATGGGGCGTGACTTCAAATACGTCCATTTTTCGTGAATAAAAACGGAAACTTGACGGAACTACCCAAAACTTACCTTATAATATATCACAGAAGAAATCAGTTTAAGGGCCAATATGAGGCTTGCCGTTGACGAAGCGAGGCTGCCGCTGCAATCTGACAGGAGGCGGCGTGCTGAACGGAGGTGGCGGAGGACTAAAATGAGGCTTGTACTCCTTGCAAAGATCAGTGGCGGCGTAATGTTGCTCGGATGGGGGCGGCCCTGAGGGCGGACTGGGGAACATGTGCTGCAGATCGGGCGGACTGCGTTGCAAAAGTGGGGGCTGCTGCAGTGGTTCCGCATAGTCCACATAGTCCGATGAGGAAGTGGTAAGATGGCCTGGTTGAATCAACGAGTCAACTGGACGAACGAAATTGATCGGCAGGAACTTACCCAGGGATGGGCTGCGGTAGAGATGAGTCTTGTCGGGGATTTGACTAGGACGGGACGAGTTTTTGCGCCGGCGATGTTGGATGCCCATGCATAAAGCGATGGCCACCACGACCAGAACCCCCACTATCAGGATCATCACAATGCCCAAATACTTCCAGACGCCCTCTTGATCGTTCATGGCGCTGACCACGTTCTTATTGTCGGGGCTTGCGCTCTTGCCATCGCCTCCTAGAGGGCCCACCTCCATCGCCTCCTCCTCCTCTCCGCTGAAGTTGCCCGACACCGGCGAACTCTCGAACGTCACTTCACTGATGAGGATCCAGCGGGCTGCGAAGAACAGCTGCAGCTTCACGAACCGCCCGATCCGATGGTGCAGCTTGAACGACACGTTCCGCGGCGTCTCCATGATTTTGTCCTCGAACGATTCGTACGTGATCGGCTCACCTTTGTAGCGCCTACCGCCCACGCTAAAGAACACTTTGGTCTCGCTGAACACCTGCACCTCCTTGGTGAACTGATTGTTCGTGTAGATGTTCACTGAGCTGAACTCGCGCACTTTATCGAACTCGAACGTGATTTCCACCGGGTGATTTTCCCTGTTGTCGCTCTTCCATCCGATCCATCCCTGACCTGCGTCCTCATGGAAGGACATCTTGAAGTCGTCCGGCGCTGTTTGGCCGTCGGTCAACTGACCAAGACCTGCAACCGAGACGGAGTTTTCAAACAACAGAAATTGGGCTTTACTGCCATAATCAAGCGTGAGCAAACGACTTAAGAAAAAGTATATTTTTGATGGAAACCACTGGCACAATAGGCATGGGTAACACTGTGTTGAGTTATAACACATCGCGCCTCACTGCGCCCCACTTTGAATGACGCTTAGCAATTGGAAATTGCCACATTAATAGAGAGTCAGGCAAAGAGTCAGCTTAGTTATACTGTGAATTTGGCTCCAATTGAGCTCTTGGTTCTTTCACAAGAAATTTCCAAACTCGAAATAAACGGCGAAATTTGAAACTGATACACCAGATCGGGCCAAAATGTTATGCTGGGTTAGAGTTTTCTATTCGAAGTGGATTTTCATGGTGAAAGTGTAGGGAACTTGTAGAGAATTCTTGGATATAAAATAGAGGATGGGGCGCCAGCTTGCAAAAGTCTCTAATCTATAAACCTTTCAGCTTGAACTGGGTTTAGTTTTCCGATAAGCAACTGAAGTTTTATGGATTCTGTATATTTCCCTCGGTGATTCAAATAAGTTTGGCTTTGGACAGATCTATTAGTTCTTTCGTAGG